ATCGGTGTCACTTCGTCGACTGCAAACATTTCCTTTGCAGCATGTTGCCGTAGTCCATTTTTAGGCTATCCACTATTGGGAATTTCATCATTTGATGAAAGGTTGAAGGTACAACCCTCATGTTGTGGATCCATGGCCTCCCGAGAAGTGCATTATACCTCATGTCGCCTTCGATGACATGGAATTTCATATCTTGGATGGTCCCGACCACGTTCACTGGTAGGATTATCTCCCCCTTCGTTGTTTTGCTTGCCATGTTGAAGCCATTTAGGACTCGGGATGCAGGTATAATTTGATCGTGTAGGCCGAGCTATTCTACGACCCTCGATCTGATTATGTTTTCTGAGCTACCTGGATCCACTAGAACACGTTTAACTTGAATTTTATTTAACAAAATAGAAATTACCAGGGCGTCATTGTGTGGCTGAGATATGCCTTTCGCTTCCTCGTCATTAAACGATAGGATGCCCTCGGGCACATAGCTTCGAGTCCATTTTTCTCTGGTGATCGACACCTTGGTGTGTTTGAACACAGGCCCTTGTGGAACATCGACACCGCCAACGACCATATGGATTACGTGCTGCGATTCTTCCTGCTCATTTTTTTCTATTTACATCTCTTTCCCTGAAGTGGTTCTTAGCTCGATCATTGAGAAATTCTTGAAGATGACCCTCGTTGAACAACCGAGCTACTTCCTCCCTTAGCTGCCTGCAGTCTTCGGTTCTATGTCCATGTGTGCCATGATACATACACATCAAGTTTGGATTTCTTTGAGAAGGTCGGTTTGAATAGGCCTGGGCCACCTGGTGTCTTTGATTCTGGCCTAGTGTCTTTGATTCTTCCAATAGCTGACATGATCCCCCATGCATCTATAATGAAATTATACTCCGATAATCGAGGTGCTTCCACGGAGTCATTATGTTTATTGAACCCATTCTTACTCATGAGTCCCCGAGAGCTTTAACCTCGATCATTTCTTCGATCATTCTGAGAAGCATTGCGCCCCGTTCCGTTGTTTCTCTGATCTATATATGGCTAATATCGTTCCTTATTCGATCTTGATTCCTTGTCTGTATCCCTCGGGGGCTTAGCTGCCAATCTATTAGGATAAATTGAACCCGAGGGGGCTCCCAACAAGTCGTCATCGACCCTAATCTTCGATTGATAACGATTATGTGTGTCTGACCACGTCACAGCTGGATACTCGATAAGGTTCTACTTTAATTGTCGAGACACGATCGAACTCCGCTCGCTCAAACCCTGCATTAAAGTCTACACTGCCCAGTCATTCGAGACCGGTGGTAATTCTATCCGCTCCATTTGACACCGGGACACGAACTCTCTTAATATCTCATCGTTCCTGTCTTATCTTAAAAATGTTTGATTTCCTCGTTGCCACCTTTATGGCCCCAACATGTGCTTTCATGAAGGCGTCTACTAACATAGCAAACGAATCGATAGAGTTCGGAGGCAAGTTGTGATACCAAATAATGGCTCCCTTTGACAAAGTTTCCCCAAATTTCTTCAATAATACCGATTCGATCTCATCATCATTTAAATCGTTTCCTTTCCCGCAAGTATATGAATTAATATGCTCGTTAGGGTTCGTTGTCCCATTTTATTTGGGTATATCGGGCATGTGAAACTTTTTAGGAATAGGCTTCGGAGCCGCACTCGCAGGGAACGGCTTTTGTATGAACTTTTTGGTATCCAAACCTTTCAAGACTGGAGGTGCCCCCGGTATTTGATCAACACGGGAGTTATAAGTCTCCACATTTTTGTCATTATCCTTAATCTTCTTTTCCCCGGACACGATCCTCTTGATGAGTTCTTCGTGCATCCTCGGAATTGTGGGGTTAGTCCCCGAGCCACTACTGTTTGATCTCTCTGGCACCGATTCAGCACGTCGAGTATTTTCTGGTTCGGTTATACTCGGAGTTTTATTCTGGCTTTGAAGTTGAGCGATGGCAATCTTTTGAGCTTGAAGCATCTCGAATATCACTTGGAGGCTGACTCCCCCATCTCTTATACCCTGCGTTCCTTGGCCACCAAATCGGGCTTCCCTGCATATACTTCCCCCGGGGTCTATGCCTAAATACGCATTCAAAGCAATATGTGAACTAACATCAACCGGTTCCATATTTGGCACTTTTCTAGGGTTATTGGTGGTACACCGACCCCTATATTATTATTTTCTTCATGAAATCCAAGACCATCGTTGTCGTGTACAGGTGCGTTTTGCGAGTTTGACATGTTTTAGCCCGAGAATAAAAAAATCTTTACAAGAACAAGTGTAAAAATAACGTGTGTTATGAGAATCAGCACTGAAATAATCACTATTATCTTTAGCCCCACGGTGGGCGCCAAACTGTTTACCTCGAAAATACGAGTAACAATTAAATTTGATTTGTGGTTTTAAAGATATGTGATTTAGTTCAATACTAATTAATAATCAATAAGTCTAACGTATAAATGAAAGAAATGAGTAAGTCAAACCAGTGCTGCTAGGCAGTATCGACCTCGAGCCAAAGTGACCTCGAGATGGATCAAGAACAATAAAGCAAGAATAATAAAGTTAAAAGACAATTCTGATGAACAATGAGCGAAAAAGTAAGAGAGTATATTCTTTGCCAATGATTAGATGATCTTTACAAATGATTGGGGTCCCTTTATATAATAGGGGAACCCTAAATAAGGTACATTTCTATTTAGAGTAGAGAATCTTATTGGGACAGCTATCTAACCACCTACGGATTCGTACAAATCTATTCCGTGATTTACACCATGATCTTGGGGACGTGGCAGGAATCTTGCTCATTCAGTTACAAATCTGTAACGGCATTATCTCGGGGTTGAGCATACTCGGCTTTGATACCCATCGCACACTTCGATCCTCGGGCATTGCATTCTGCCTTCGAGCTCGAGTCTGGTCCATCGAGCTCGAACTCGACCTTACCTGAACTCGGGCTTAAGGCGACCCCTCGAGCCCAGGGAAATCGAACATACCTGATTTCGACCGTATACAAAAATTATGAAAAGTTTAAGAAATATTTATAGACTAAACTACAATAAATATTTTTATGTAGTAGATATATTTAAAACTTCTATACATGTAATGTCGGATTGGTTTGGTTTCGGTTTGACCTTTTTTTTTAGGTAAAACCAAAATAAACCAATTATGGTCGGATTTTTTCCCCATCACCAAACCAAATCATAGTCGGATTTTTTCTTGGTTTGATTCGGATTATCGATTTGGTGGGGTTTATCCGTTTTCTTTGTACACCCCCTAGTAAATATATCTATCTTTTCCCAAAGGAAAAATATTAGACTATACGGCCTATCGAGTCCAAAAGTTATGTTACTATCTCTAGCTTAAAATTGCAAGGGTAAGAAATTGGAGGTTTTAAGTTTTTTAATAATTAGAATCTAGCAGCATAGGCGAATCCAGGATTTAGAGATTGCGGGTGCCACTCTTTATGTATATCTTATATCTACCTCTAGCCACAACGACCGAATGAAAAGGGCGGGTCGATTCGATTAGGATTTTGTTACTCCGATTACGTTGATTAAGCCTTTTATTCACATACATAAACAAATATGTTCGATTTTGTCTAGTTACTTTTTTTCAATCTTAAATTTAAATTATATTATGAAAGAAATTGCAACAACAACAACAACAACAACAACAACAATTATAAAATTTGCTTAAAAAATTACTTAAGTCTACAAATTGTTTGTTTAACTACGATTAATTTACTTTCCAGATTCTCGATTTCATTTTATCATCTTAATTTCCAAGTTTGTACAATAATTCTTTGCAAAGCAAAAGTTTCAAATTGAGAATCAACTCAAATATGCCTACAACTCAAGCTATTTATTTTTCTTAAAAGTCAATAGAAGAGAGTCATATTGCTCAATTATATTCCAATATATAGAGGTTAATGTTGTGTCATCTAAAAAAAGAGATACTATATTAACTAAAATTAATTCAAACGACTTATCGAAAGAAATTGCATTTGAAGTAAGTATACTGTTACTGGATAAAGGAAGATTAATGCAAAGATATTTTTTTAAGAAAGGAAGAAACAAAAATAAATACTAAGAATAACAAGAAAGAGGGAGATATAGCAAATAAAAGGGGGGGAAAAGGAATAAACAACAATAGGAACAAGGAAAATGTAAAGCAACAGCAGCAACCCAGAACATTAATAGCGTCCGCAGAGATTCGAACTCGAGTTCTTTAGGAATCAAAGACTTCAAAACCATGGTTGAACCAGTGGCATCCACATCTGTTTTCTGTATTACAGGTGGCATTTAATGAATATATACGTTTTGATCTTGATATATAGATACATTTTTTAAACTTTAGCCGACCCCTACCTCTCAAGGCAGATACAGTATCTGCCTTCTGGATGGACGTACTTTAGAGATACGATAAAAACACAGAGGATATATGCTAGTTGACTTTATTCCTTGGTATGCTCGAGGCAGGTAAAAAGATAATTGTTCGGACATGTCCAATCGTTTTTGTCTGAAGCCTCTAAATGATTCAAATATTTTATTTGCAGTCGGTTTTTATACAAGCTCAAAATGAATCCATAATCGCATCTTCACGTGCACTGTTTTTATTTAGTTGTAATTAATTAATACACATTTTAAATTTTCTACCTCAATTTATCATTTAATTATAATATATATAATTTAGTATAAATAACATATGCAATAAAATATTTAGGTGGAGTCCTATGCAAACTCAAACGCATTCTCTATGAAAGAATGGTTTAAGTTTAATACAATGATAATGTGTAAATCTTTACTAGTATCAGATTAAGTTGACATACACGTTACGTTACTTCCATAATAACTTTGATAGAATTACCTGAAAGATATAGTTATAACATGTTATAATTTTTTAATTTTCACCTTTCTAATATAGTATGAGTGAATACATCTTAAATCCATTGAAATGAAATTTAAAAGCAATACAACGAGCGTAGTCATGGTAAAAGAACTCAACTCTTGGCTGAACTAGTCAATGTAAGAATGGATTAAATGTACACTGTTAAGCACGCCATACCAGACAACAAAATGGGGATGCCACAGATATGCCTCCAAAAAAATGAGAGTACGTTTAGCCAAAAAAAAAAAATGAAGAGATGGAGCATTCAAATTTTTAGGAATCCCTCAAAAGAATTCTACTATAACAAAATAAAATCCTTCTAAAAAAGGTCAGCAGTTTCATCAAAAGAGAAGCTAGTCAAATCGTCTTTCCCTTGAATGGTATTTTCATCAAGCAGCCAATTTTCTAGCATAACGGACAAGGGCAGTTGTGAGTTAGTATTCTCTTCTTTCTTGATTTCAACTTGAAATTTACTACCCTCAGGTGATGCTGTTTGAGACAACTGATCTGAACTTGACGGTTCAAATGACTCCAACCCAAAAAGTGACTCCAACGCTTCCATTAACACCATTCCACCTGTTGGAAAGATAATAATTAAGTAATTATTATAATATATAAGATCAGAATAGCTGGTACTATTCAAAAGGAGTTGGAGAAAATCTTAGTATAAAAAATAATTTGATTCTCCATATAATAATTTAAAAGTACAATTTATATTTTTAAATGAGACGATCAAATAATTCAACGATACCTTTGCTTTCTGCACTTGGAGTCCCATCACAGGAAGAGGAATCAGTTGTGGCAATGTTATTAGATGAAGTTTTTGAATTCTCAGAATTGTTTGTGGAAGAACTTCGCATCCATCCTTGTAGCAATCTGGCTATATTCTCAGTACTTGATGCATAGGTAGAAACTGGGGCTGGGGTTTCTTGTTTGATATATGGGGTTGAGTTTTCCAGTGACAAGGCACTATGTAAAGCCTTTTTGGCCATGTTTATATCAGCTTGAAGTGTTCTTTCCCATTGGCCCCTAGAGGTTGAGTTTGTAGATGACAAATTATGGCCATTTTCTACTGAGAATAGATCATCATCTCCAGAGCATTTTTCTTCAAGATTTTTCATCTTTTTCTTTAGATGTGTATTCCAGTAGTTTTTAATGTCGTTGTCTGTTCTCTCTGGTAGATACGAAGCTATTGCAGCCCATCTGTTACAAGGTCACACCAAGTCACAAACATTAAACTCAAGGATCTAACTTATATATAGTGATAATAAAAATAATTTTTACATTGTTACGTTGGTGTATTTTAGCATGTTATTACAATAAGTAATTTGTCTTATTTTTAGAATACTAAATTTACTTCTTAAAAAAAATAATTAACTGCAATTGTTTTTTAAATGATCTCATAATGTAAAAATCTCATTTACACTACTATTATATAGGAATTAATCCTAAACTATTTCACTAAAGATCAATATACCAAATGATGATACAAACCAACATAATAATAAGTAGGGGTGTTCATGGTTCAATTTGGATGGTTTTTTCCTAAAAAGAAACCAAATCAAGTAAGTCGGTTTTCAAATATTAGAACCAAACCAAACCAATTAAGTCGGTTTTTTCTCGATCCGGTTTATGTCGGGTTTTTTCAGTTTTTTAGATTATTTTTTGTTTTTTTCTTAAATATAAGACATATACCAAACGCATATTCCGGTGACCCACATTTTCAACGTAACACTATCAAATCAATTGGCCTTTGAGAAATCTATTATTTACCAAGATATATTGATGATAATTGAATCAAATAGTGATGAATAATTTAAGAACCCAATTAAAAATATATTATTTTTAATACGAAATGGATTCTTACACTTAACAAAAGAAAACTACCAATCAAACTAGAATGTAAAGGTAAAGAACCATACTAAAAGTGCAAAGTGCAAACTACTAACATTTACCATTAAATTTTTAAAACTTTGTATAAAAATATACATATATATAGGTGTAATAATAAATTTGAAATAGATACTCTTGTAGTCGGTTTGGTTCGGGTTTTTTCGGTTTTTTTCTGATTAAAACCAAAACCAAACCAAATTTGATCGGTTTTTGAAATTCAAAACCAAAATCAAACCAAACCAAAAAGTATTTTTTTGGTCGGTTTGGTTTGGTTTCGGTTTTGTCCGATTTTTTGGGTTTTTATGAACACCCCTAATAATAAGTATTATGCTACGAATTCAAGATCTAGAATTGGTTTAGAATGAAGTAACCTTATTATATACTACTATATAAGTACTTTTTAAAAAATATTAAGTGTATGTAGTTTGAACTATGAGCAACAGGTCAGCTAAAGCTGCAAAATACGCCCTAGATTAGTTTTTAAAGTATTAGGTTTAGGAGGGAAAAAGAAGATATATACTTGTTGCCTAAAAGAGCTTGTAGCTGGATAATCATCTTCTCTTCTTGATCTGTGAAGCTACCCCTCTTTATTCCTGGCCTAAGGTAGTTAGTCCATCTTAGCCTGCAGCTCTTGCTACACCTCCGCAATCCTGGGAAAAACAAAGACAAATCTTTAGTAAACTCACTACATTTAGCAATATATAAGCACATACACTCATAAATAAATAGAATAAGAGAAGCTAAACAAGACATTAAACCTGTCTTAGTGGGAACTGCCCTCCAATTTCCTGGACCATGTTCTTGAACATAAGAGACCAACATTATATCTTCTTCAGGAGTCCATGGCCCTTTTTTCACCCCTACTTTGTCACAGCAAGGGGGTCTTCCCATCTCTACACTATATTGATCTAATGACCCTTTTTTCGTTTGGTTGTAATTGCTCCTTCTATTCTATATGAATGCTAGTAGTTTCTTCTTTGTTGTGGCTTCAGCCTTTTTTTTTCTTGTGTTCTTGGAAATTAGAGCAAAGACAAGGGTCTAAGGCTAAGGTAGTTTATCTGCAGATATAGAAATGAAGGAGACCTAGAGGAAGTGACCCAAAATAAGCTTTAAGAAGAGAGTGAAGGAGTCAAAAAGGTGACAGGCAAGAGCATTTACTCCACAGCCAAAGTCAGCTGATGCCCTCATCTTGAAACCGCGTGACATTCAATGTTCGCTCTATTGCCAATATTTACTTCTGCTTTTAAGCAATAACCTAATTTCTATTCTTTACTAACTCCTCCTCTTGCCTACATCAAAGTAAAGCTAACTGTCATGCTACACTAACCAAAATTTTCACTAATATGTCACCTGACCACCTTGTTCCTCATTCCAATGAGCTTCTTTCAAGCAGAGAAGAGTTGGGAAAATTAATCCACTTTTTAGTAACTCGTGCAACACATCCTTGTTTAAACGAATTCGGGTTATGACAAATAAACTTGATCTAGCAGGGTAAATCCGAAATGCCATCAAAGATTAGTTAAATAATGTAATCCAACGAGTCAAAATGTAACCTAAGCTGGTCCAAACATATAAAATCAAATTTGAAATGATGAATTCTGTAAACATGGAAGAACTTATACTAATAATTTAAGAACAATATATTGCCTTTCACATTTCTTTTTCCAAAAGCAAAAAAATAAAGAGAAGATGTTGCGACGTGGGACAAGTTGATTTATGACCGATTATTTGAGTAATCTTGACCCTAGCCAACTTAGAACAGATTGAGTCATGGCTTTAAATCATATTCATAAATTAAAGAACTCATACATTAAATTAATCCTGAATTTGCGGACATTGATAAACACTTCTTTCTTTTACATTTCATTGCTATTTGTGCGAACGTGTTTATGGAGGTAATTAACGCAAGGTTTTGAGCTTCCAAGAAAAATTAAAGCACACTACATCTATCAGTAATGATTCCATATTAGTGTATATATATATATATATATATATCCAAGTCACTTCGCACATGATGCACGTAGCAAATTAGTTTACAAGCCAAAATAGGGACACATAACACTCATATGCATATTAAATATTAATCAACAGGCAGGACCCTCCATATCCATTCAATGAGTATGAGTAGTATTCCTTTTATAATTTATTATTTGAGTGTTACCCAGCACCATTGAGCATTAATCCTCAAGAAATCCCACAACTTTCTTTTAACGAGGTGCATGACAGTAGATCTAGTGAAACAAGAAAGGACAGTAGGGGTGTGTTTGGTATGAAGGAAAATATTTTTCGGAAAATGTTTTCTAATTTTTACATGTTTGGTTGGCTTAAATGTTTTGGAAAATATTTTCCTTATCAATTCATTTTCCTCCAATTGGAGAAAAATGTTTTCCTTATCAAGAGAAGGGAAAACATTTTCCAAAGCTCCTTCTCAACCTTCCCCACNAAGGTTTATGTGTTTGGAAGTTTATGGGTTTAGAAATTATAAAGTTTACGGGTTCGAAATTCCGTGGTTTTGAAAGTTTAGCGGTTGGAAAGTTTATGAAATTTGTGGGTCCGGAAGGTTGTTGGTTTGAAAGTTTATGGATTCATGTTTATTATATCTAAATTATTTATGAATACTCTTAAGAAGTCATTTTCCTTAATTTGCGTACCAAACATCGGCAAATGAATAAGATTACTACTTGTTTTCCAAAAAAATATTTTCTTGGAAAATATTTTCCACGAAAAATATTTTCCGTATACCAAACACACCCTAGATCTAATTTATTTTTCTGCTCTAGTTTATATCATATCGAATTGGGAGCACTAGAGGGGTCATTTATTTGTCAATTTAGATCTGCAGCATACTGAAAATATACGTCGATTTTGAGAATGCTAGCTAATTACAATTATAACCTTTGTATGTAAAGTTGTACTGGCCATTCACTGCATCTAGGGATGGCAAAAAGATAAAAATAATAATTTTCATTCATATTAATATGGGTTGGATAATTATCTATTTAAAAATGATCAAATATGGGTATTATTCATATAAAAATGGATACGCAATGACTAACCAATGAACATAGCCGTCAAAATCGACTTGTACCATAAGACCAGCCCAACCCAATCTGCTACTTAGGTAGAGTTGGGCTAAGGTTTCTAGCCCATTAAAAATGAGGCTTATAGGCCTGACTCAAGCTACACCCTGCCAATTCCTAAGGGGTCGGACCGTGGGCCAAAAAGAATTTAATTTAAATATAAATTTATGAAATCAAGTGATAATACAACTATTAAATAGGAACCTCAAAAAACAAAGTAGCATTACGGAGGTGCTAAATCTTATCTAAAAGTTTAAACAGATAAGGAGGGCAAACATGCCCATAATTGCTAGCCTTTCTTTCTAAGAAAATCTCACTTTATATCCATTAATTTCAAACTATTTACCCTTTAATGTTCAGGCCCGAATTATTTATTTCTACTATCCATGCGGTCCAAACTATTTACCCGGCCCATGCATTATCTTATTCCCCTCATTTAATGCCTCAGTTAACGCTATTTCACTAGCCATTTCTTTCATTTCAAAAATCCCATAGCCAAACCATGAGAAATCATATTTCACACAGCAGTTACTGATTTCACTTGTGAATTTTTCTTCAGATTTTGTTTCTATCTTCAATATTATTGTACATGAGTTTCACTCCAAAATCCTCTTTCTATATTAGTGTGTTTTTTGTATTTATTTGTATTTCTAAATAATGTTGCACTGTGGGCCGGTCCCGAAACGGACCGGACCGGGCCCGCGGTCTTAACGGGCCTCACGGGCCTGGTGGGCCGGTCCCGGTAGGCCGGTCCTGATGGTCTTTTTATGCCCGTGGCGGGCTGGTCTTGTTTGGTAAGCCC